TACATTTTTAACTAAGGATAACATTTTTTACTTTAAAGGTGTTTTTAAAGATAAAGGGCTGAATAAAATTGAACTTAAAATGGAAAAAATGTGGAATCATTAATACAAATCTAATTTAAAGACCAAAAAGGTAATTGCAACATAAAAAGTTTAGTTAAGTGTGAAAGTTTTGAATTTAGATATGTGGGATTTGAATGGTTCCATAAAGTAAAATATGTACTTAAAAGGTTTTTTTTAAGTTCAATAGAAGGTTAAAGTGCTTTTTAAACCAGTTTTTAGATTTAAGCCCAGAAACCACGTGAGTTAAAGGGTTTTTAAGTTGACAGAAGTTGAATGATTGAATATACAGTGGGCAAAAAAGTATTTATCAGCCACCAATTTGTGGCAAGTTCTCCACCCTAAAAATATTGAGTAGCCTGGTAATTTTTTCATCCTAGGTATATCTTTAAACTTATGAGAGAACACAATGAGAAGAAAAAAATCCAGAAAATCACACATTGTCTGATTTTTAAAGACTTTATTTGCAAATTAATGGTGGAAAATAAGTATTTGGGGGGTCCAATTAACAAAAGTTCATCTCATCACTTTGGTTATATAGCCCTTTTGTTGGCAATGACAAGAGTCCAACACGTTTTCTGTAAGGTTCACAAGGTTTTCACCACCACTGTTGCTGGTATTTTTGGGCCCATTCATTTCCATGCCAGATCTCCTCTAGAGCAGTGATGTTTTGGGGCTGTCCGCTGGGCAACACAGACTTTCAAGTCCCTCCAAAGAATTTTCTATGGGGTTGAGATCTGGAGACTGGCTAGGCCACTCCAGACCGTTGAAATGCTTCTTAACGAAGCCACTCCTTCGTTCCCGGGCGGTGTGGTTGGGATCATTGTCATGACGAAAGACAGCAGCCACGTTTCATCTTCAATGCCCTTGCTGAGGAGGAGGTTGTCACTTCCAAATCAATATCACGATACATGGCCCCATTATTCTTTCCTTTAACACGGATGCAGCTCGTCCTGGTCCCTTTGCAGGAAAAAAGCAGCCCCAAGCCATGATGTTTGCCACCAGCCCATGTTTCACATGTAGGTATGTGGTTCTTTGGATGCAACTCAGGCATTCCTTTCTCCTCCAAAAACACGTCTAGTTGAGCTTTTACCAAAATGGCTTCCTATTTTGGGTGTTCATCCTGACCATACCCGTAATGACATTCTCTCTCCCAATCCTCTCCTGAATTCATCTAAATGCTCTCTAGCAAACTTCAGACGGGCCTGGACATGTACTGGCTTAAGCAGGGGGACACGTCTGGCACTGCAGGATTTGAGTCCCTGGCGGCGTAGTGTGTTACTGATGGTAGCCTTTGTTACTTTGGTCCCAGCTCTCTGCAGGTCATTGACTAGGTCCCCCCGTGTGGTTCTGGGATTTTTGCTCACCGTTCTTGTGATCATTTTGACCCCACGGGGTGAGATCTTGCGTGGAGCCCCAGATCGAGGGAGATTATCAGTGGTCTTGTATGTCTTTCATTTTCTAATAATTGCTCCCACAGTTGATTTCTTCACACCAAGCTGCTTACCTATTGCAGATTCAGTCTTCCCAGCCTGGTGCAGGTCTACAATTTTGTTTCTGGTGTCCTTTGACAGCTCTTTGGTCTTGGCCATAGTGGAGTTTGGAGTGTGACTGTTTGAGGTTGTGGACAGGTGTCTTTTATACTGATAACGAGTTCAAACAGGTGCCATTAATACAGTTAAGAAGTGGAGGACAGAGGAGGCTCTTAAAGAAGAAGTTACAGGTCTGTGAGAGCCAGAAATCTTGGTTGTTTGTAGGTGACCAAATACTTATTTTCCACCATAATTTGCAAATAAATTCTTTAAAAATCAGACAATGTGATTTTTTTTTTTTTTTCTCATTTTGTCTCTCATAGTTGAGGTATACCTAGGATGAAAATTACAGGCCTCATCTTTTTAAGTGGGAGAACTTGTACAATTGGTGGCTGACTAAATACTTTTTTGCCCCACTGTAAGTGTTGCAATCCTGCTGACATTGCAGTGTGAACACGCTGTGACGACCCCTGCTTATATAAATCCTGTCAGCCTCACACATGGCGCTCTGAAGCGGACAACAGGTGCCAACATGTGACTGTAGCACGAGACACACGTGTAACACGCGTGTAACATGGTGCAACACGGTGCAGCGCTCTGAACACTTTGTCCTCCCGCAGGCCGCCTCGGGCTCCGAGGGCGACCCCGTGTCCCATCGCAAGAAGAAGAGACGCACCTGCGGCACCGTGGCCAACGGAGACACCAGCAGCAAGGACGACTGCGTCAGCAAGGAGAGGAGCTCATCGCGGTGACCTCCGACCTCTGTCACACACACACACACAGAAAAAGCTGCTTCCTTTGTTGTTTTAGGTCTGAAGCGAAGGAGACCTGTCACCACTGTGCTTTCAATCAATGTTTGTGTCTGTACAGAGAGATTATCTGCAGTAAACACTCTGGGGAAGGTTAGGAGCGTGACACACGGTTTTAAAAGTCTCCCAGCTGCTCTCTCATGTGAGAAATAAAGGGACGAGAACATTTCTGTAACTGTAAAACATGACATCCATCCACCAGAGGAGAGAAAACACACTTCCTTTAAGAAAAATAAATATCAACATTTCTGAAGTGTTTGATAATCAATAGTTATGTGGATATGAGGGAGTGGATAAAGGCAAATAATGATTGGTAAATTCAGAAATGTTAATCTAAATAAAATAATTCAGCTTTACAACAATGAAAAGACCCCACTTATATTACAATATCCAAAATATAAAACAATATCTAATCTCATATCACATTATTGATATTTTGCCAAGCCCTCTTATGGACCAACTTCACAAACACACATTTCAGTACACCATATTAAAGGCCAACTTTAACCTGGACTCTATTTCCCAGTGTTTAGGTGAGTTACGGGGACAGTTTTGAGTGGGAGCGCTGCAGCTGCTAAAGGCGCAAACCTTTATCAATAAATATCCTCTAAAGCTGCATTTCTCCCACACGGTACGGCTTCACTCACAGAACTTCTTTTTCACTTGAAGATTGTACATCCTTAGTCAAGGCATGTTTGCCAGCTGCATTAAATACAATTACCTGTTTGTTACCTGTGATGCACTAACGACGGTTCTCTCAGACCAACCAGTCGTCTGTGGAATCTTTTACGTGACTATTTAGAGAAAACATACAAATAAGTCTAGTGAGTCGCTCCATGCAGTGGAAATGGTTCTTTAATGTGTTGGTTTTACCCCCCGACACACTCATATTGTTACTATACATGTCTAATATCATTATGAAAAGGAGCCTACAAAAAAATGTACTTACTTTTTCTTTTTACTTGATCCAAGTAAAAAAAACTCGTAAAATTACCTGAGATTCCCAACAAGACTGTTTCTTGAGAAATTAGGGTCCATTTTGAAAATCCTAGAGAATATTGTGATATGAGAAGCAGAGTTTGGCTGTTAGCCAATCACGTTATCACTGGGAAACTAGAGACTCGCTAAAGCAAAACAAAAAAAAAGCACTTCTCTAAATGCTGTTTGTGCGTATAACTGGTGGTTTTTCCTTAGAATGGTTGGAGTTTGTGTCGCTCCTCTACCCGCCTTGGTGATTAACCTTCACATTGAGAAGTGTGATTCAGTCAGCCAGCCTTAAAGAAATGAAACGTTTAAAGGAAATGTGCGCATGTAAGAATGGTTAATTCTGTATGAAATACAGCAGAGAAACGGCTAATTGAAAACGTTTCTGCCATCTTCATGTTCTGCCTGCTTTGTGCCAAAATGCTGCAGATGGGAGAAACTGTCGCTAAATGTTGAGGCTAATCGTTTTTATGGAGTCGCAAAAAAAAATCAGCAGAGGGCACTACGTTAACTGCTGTGTTTTGTTTTAGTTTATCAATCAGTTTGTGCATCTTGTTAAGAATAGAAGAAGAAGCTAACTAATTGATGATGCAGATTCAACACCACATCCAATATCAACAAATAAATAATTTGATGTATTGATTAGCTGTTGATTAGAGCTGAAACGTTAGTCAACAGACATAAAATTTATTAGCAACAATCAATTAATTGCTTTGGATTACTCTAAGGCAAATATGGCAAAACGCATCTCGGTCTGCTTCTAAAATGGGACTATTTATCGATTTCCTTCTCTTCTATGGTGGCAAACTGAATCTCTTAGTTGAGGACTACAAACAAGACATTTAAGATGTCACCTGGACCTCTTGGAACACATTTCTTTTTATAACTGCTGCCTTTCTACATAAACAAGATTATAAATAAAATCATCAGCTTTGAAAGCCAATACCTGCTGAGATTGAGTTCATCAAGTCATTATTATGTAAGAAGCAAGCAGAGAAGGTTAAATAGTTTACTGAAAGTGTTTATGAATTGTTTCAACATGCATGTTCTGTCTCCTAAACTAAAGCCACGGGGGGGGGAAATAAACAAAAACAGTCTAAACATGTAGAATTCCTGTTTTGTTTAAAAAAGTCTATCAAAGATACTGCATTCATGCCCACTTTTATATGATTAATAATGTTAAATAACGTGCAGTTCAAATCCGTTTCACACAACATGTAGGAAAGACTAAGCAAGCCACACACCATCGAGAAAAAAAAGCAGTCGATTAATACAAAATGCTGAAAATAGTCAGGTTGCAGAATTATTTAAAGAAAACATCTTGATTTGTTATTAAACATCAGAAAACAGTTAACGTCTTTAAATGTCTTTTCCGCAACACCCAAACATTCAGTTTACTGAGATTTGAACTGTTTTTTGCTTGAAAAATGACTTGGTTTTGTGAACAGTTTCTGATTAAAAAAAAATCTCTTGATCCACGCCTGGAATCTACGCTTGAGTGAAACGTTTGAAGCTTTTCTACAAATCCTTTAAAAAGAGCTGTAAAATGTTGCTGTAGACTAAAGTGCCTCTAAAGAAAATGTGTAAGTTTGTCTGTCTGTCTGTTGGGAGGTTTCTGTTTTTTATTTGTTTTTAAACTAATGTGAAGGCACCGTGTTGGTCCCTGAGGTCGCTCACATGGTGCCTTTAGGTTCTCTGAATCCTGTCTGCAATGTTAATAAAGTAAATCTGAGGAGCTCAGATAGACCTTGAGGTGATAAATGTAATTTCTTTCGTCAATAAACTATTTTCTATGACTCGAAACTTGTTTGTCTGAGCATTTTTTTAATGTATTTAACTTCCCGCTTTTCAAAGTATTTATTTTGGGACTGTTCATGACCTACATTTCGGTAAGGATGTGAGTTTTTTTTTTAATTAAAAAAATTCAGTAAGTTATTTCATCTCATACGAAGTGTATCCTAAAAACAGAAAAAATACACAAATTAAAAGTTTAATTTGTGCTGTAATACACATTATTTCAATATTTTTTTACATTTTTATTTTAAGTATTTACTCGTATACATATGAAGGTAAATAAATATATATATATATATATCGCATGATGTACTATTGTTAGATGTGCCAAGAGCAAGGACTGTCTTAGGTAAGACAGCTTTTATGTGCGCAGCTCCACTTGCTTGGAACAATCTTCAGCTAGAATTGAAACTNCGTTTATTTATAAAGCTTTGTTGGGTAAACTCCCGTATTGTATCTGCTCTCTGATAACACAGAGAGTTGCAGGCAGCTATTGTCTGAGATCTCATGATGTAGTATTTTAGATGTGCCAAGAGCAAGGACTGTCTTAGGTAAGACAGCTTTTATGTGCGCAGCTCCACTTGCTTGGAACAATCTTCAGCTAGAATTGAAACTGAGTAATCTCATTCCTCTGCATGTTTTTAAAGCTAGGCTAAATGAAATGCTCGTTGATACTATGGGCACTTGTAAATGTCTATAACTATGTAAATGTATGCTGTAAATATAATGTATGATGTCCTTTATTGTTTCATGTTTCATGTGGAACCTATATGCTGCAGGCAGGGTGTCCGCGAGGTCTTAAAAAGTATTACAAGTTGATAAATCAATTTAGCAAAAATTAAGGCTATTAAAAAGTATTAAAAAGTATTAAACTGCATTTTCCAAGGTATTAAGAAGGTCCACAGCAACGACAACATGAAACTACCCTTTAATTTACTGAAACGACATGTCGGAAACCCCTCAAGGCCGGCCCATGCATAGNTATTGTTATATGTGCCAAGAGCAAGGACTGTGTTAGGTAAGACAGCTTTTATGTGCGCAGCTCCACTTGCTTGGAACAATCTTCAGCAAGAATTGAAACTGAGCAACCTCATTCCTCTGCAGGTTTTTAAAGCTAGGCTAAATGAAATGCTCGTTAATACTATGGGCACTTGTAAATGTCTATAACTATGTAAATGTATCCTGCAAATATAATGTATGATGTCCTTTCTTGTTTTATGTTTCATGTGGAACCTATATCCTGCAGGTCTCCCTTGAAAAAGAGATCTATGATATCAATGGGACCAATCTGGTTAAATAAAGGTTTGAAATGAATGACACAATGGTATGGGGAATGGAAACTCAGCTGTGTACTAACAAACTGGATGGACTGGACGCTGAAACGAGGCTATTCACTCCAGTTTTGCAGCGGCCCACCTCCTTTTATGAGCATGCGAGAGGAAATCTATCTACCCAGGATGAGATTGTTTTCCTCTCAGCAGAGATTCAGGCTCTGGTGCAGAAACAGGCTGTGTCTGTTGTGCACCCTCAGCACAGAGAAAATGGTCTTTATTCCATGTACTTCCTGGTTCTCAATTCAAATCTATTCTAGATCTCAGCAGCCTGAATCGCTACATTGCCAGCAGAAAATTCCGCATGTTAACTATACAACAGTTAATGGGGCTAGTGCAAACCGGGCGATTGGTAGACCACCATCGACCTGAAAGACGCATACTTTCATGTGGAAATTGCTCCGGAGCACAGAAAGTGTCTGCGTTTTGCCTTCCAGGGGATAGCCGACGAGTACAACAGATTACCGTTCGGCTACTCCCTATCCCCACGCACGTTCAGTAAATGTGTGGCCACTGCGCTTCAACCGCTGCGCGCCCACGGCGTGACTGCATATGCGCCGCCTGCAGAGATGGTTCTCCAGCCTGCGTTTGGATCCCAAGAGGCACAAATGGCAGCTGGTAACCATCCCCCCCCTCAGTGGAGGGCAACCTCCGGTTCTGGGGGTCTCCCGGGCACCTCCGGAGGGGGTCTCCACTGGGACGGGTAACCTCCTACATCACAGTGTTCACGGGAACAGGATGGGGAGGGACCTGCCTGAAGAGGGCTATAGGTGGGCGCTGGTCTCTAACAGAAACACGACACAGCAACCTCCTAGAGCTACGGGCGGTAGTGTTAGTCCTCCAGCATTTCATGCCCCTAATTCAAGGGAGACATGTATTGGTCAGGAGCGACAACAGCACCACAGTGGCTTATATCAACAGGCAAGGCGGATTCCGCTCCGCCGCCTTGTTGGCCACAGCGGAGAGGCTGTGGTTATGGGCATCAGAGGTGGTTTTATCTCAGATTTATTATAGATCAGCGGTTTTCAAAGTGTGAGGCGCGCCTCCCCTGGGGGGCACCAGAGAGCTTCAGGGGAGGCGCAGCGTGAGACACAAAAGTTGTGTCTCACGCTGCGCCTCCCCTGAAGCTCTCTGGTGCCCCCCAGGGGAGGCGCGCCTCACACTTTGAAAACCGCTGATCTATAATAAATCTGAGNGGTGGGAGAGCTCTAAAGAGGTGAAGGTATCCAATTTACACCAAAAAAAAAGCAAGAGAAAATTGAAATAATGGAAATAAACAGAATTGAGTTTAACTGATTTTGTTGAAATCACTTAAAAAGTAGAAGTGGGCGCTCAAGTGCCTCCAGGTCTCAATTAGAGGGTCAGTAATTAAAAAACCTGCTGTTTAAAATCTAGATGAAGAAATTAAGTCTTTGCCTTTACTACTGAGATGTTTCTGTTCACAGAGTTTCCTGGAAAGCAGTGTTTATGTATTCAGATAGCTGTCAACAGAGGGCAGAGGAAGAGGAGAATACGAAGAGGAGGAAGAGGAGGGGGGGTGCAGGAGGTTTGCCGCAGTGCTCTAATGATCTGATCTCCTGCTCTGAATCCTCTCTCTCCCCTTTGATTTCCTCCATCACTCGTCCTCTCTTTATTCCACCCTCCTCTAATGTGATCAATAGGATCTGGAAGTGTAATTACTCGTCTTGTTTAATTGGAGAAGTCAAAGTGTAACTAAAACGTTACTTCAGGACCTTCACTGACCCTTTTCTGCTTCTGTAACCGAGCGAGTGTGTGAGAATAAAGTGAGACACGTTGAGCTGTGAACCTGCTCCCTACAGACGCCTGTCTCCCTGCAGGCTGAAGGGCGGCCATGTTGGAAAACTGACAACGACAAAAAGAACATGTTCCAAAACTCTCTGTAGGGAAATTGTGCTTTAAAAGTAGAATGATAACTAACCCTTTCACACGATAACTGACCAAAACCAATAATTAAATAATGTTTTTTTCCACGTTCTGTAAAAAAAAGAACATATTTTTGTCGTCAAATTCCCACCATGGCTTCCTGTCCCTCTAAACCACTTCATACAAACATCTGGATATCTATCTTACCTTCCTTCTTGTTGATTTGTTGCTGAAGCCCTTCTTTAAGACACTGAGGAGGTCACGGGAACACTTTGTTGTCCCGGCTCTTTCATTCCCAGTTGATTGAAATGTTGTAAATCTAGAAATACGCTGGTATCACTTCTTCGGATCTTCTGATCGAGGGTGAGCGTTTTGTTTATTTGTGCAACTTCAGGTGTGTGATGATGATGATGATGATGATCATGATGATGAAGGGTTCCTTCCAGTCACTCTCTTTTCTCTGAGTCTCAGCTTTTAGAAGTTCTCCCTGTTTCATGTGTGTGTGTGTGTGTGTGTGTGTGTGTGTGTGTGTGTGTGTGTGTGTGTGTGTGTGTGTGTGTGTGTGTGTGTGTGTGTGTGTGTGTGTGTGNTCAATTCTGTTTATTTCCATTATTTCAATTTTCTCTTGCTTTTTTTTTGGTGTAAATTGGATACCTTCACCTCTTTAGAGCTCTCCCACCCACTCCAGTGTCCTCACTGAACCTACAGCCTTTGGTTGCAAGTGAGAAAAATGGGGAATCACTGATGAGTGAAACCAGTGACTGTATTCTCCATGACACAGACAGTCTGTGGTTTGGACTTGTTTAACTTCTGTCTAGTTTCTGAACAGATATGAGGAGCTGTGAGCTCTGAGGGCTAACAGCTAACGGATGATGTTGGTTTTGTGGTTCTCATTGAAGATGACGTCAGGGCTCCGTCTACACTGCGTTACTATAGTTACTACCCCAGCTACTAAACTGTAATGGAAAGGCCTAACTATACCGTACTAAGCCGAGCGAGGCCCTGCAGTTACAGTTCTTCATCTTTTCTCCTCTCGTTAATCCCCTTCTTGTCACTCAGATTTTAAAAGTACTCGTACAACAATAAACACATGACCTAAGATTCAAACATGAGCGAAACATCAACAAAAACAACACGGTTATTTAAATATAGACAGAAATGAGTAGGACAGGCTTAGTGTCTCACTAATGGACCTTAAGAAGTGTATACTGTATTATTTACCAAAAATCAATCACTAGCATCTCCAACAAGTATCAGCAGGTTAGAGGAGCTTCACATGTGATGACTAACCTCACCATGTGATCTCAGTTAACACACAGCTGGAAAACTAAGTCATCCAGCTGCTCGTCCACTGAGACAAAGGACGAGGAGGAGGCAGAGAGGGAACGCTCTGAAAAAGACTTTGTGATATCAGAGTGGATGTTAGAGATCAGGGATGCACGGTCAGCACTCTTTAATAGCTCCAGGATGATATTACCTGGTCACCAGTTGACGAAACCAGACAATATATTAGAGTTTTGTCTCGTTTAAAACTCTACGATGGATGCTTTTGCGGTTAGACAGAAATGTAAAACGTCAAAGTGTTTGGTCATGCAGGTTTTCAATCAGTTACTCGTGTTTTAAGAACGAATAAGAGTCAGGAAACCGTGAGAGTTCCCTGTAAATAGTTTGATCGATCGTCTTTTCCATGGGACCTGTTTGTACTGAATGCACTGCGTCACACTTGACGCCTCATGAGGATTGTCCAAAAAGATCTAATCAAGTTTCATTTCGATTGTTTGTTTTTTGGACTCTCTTGACGAGGCCTTCGATGAATCTCAGCTGAAACGCTTGAAATCAAAGAAGCTTGAATTCTCCGGTCACATGTCCAGTTTGAAACTCATGGTCGGTCATTTAAACCTTTCTGCTTGAAATGATGGTTTGATATATCCAAGCCAGACGAAACAGTATTGAGTTATTTCACAGAAACAGATATTCAACACATACTGCTCTTGGACACATTCATATATCTACGTTTATTAATGTCTGTTACATCCACAGAATGTACTGTACAGGTCTAAGCCTTCAGACGAACAACTACACAAGTCAGTTAAATACGAAATAAAAGATTTGTTTATGTACAAACAGCCCACCAGCATTATGCACATCATTAAGGGGTTTGGTGCCGTCCCTTTCAGAGGGAGTTCGATCCATGAAATCTACTGACGTCTGTAGTTCGTGTCTGAAGGGTTAAATCTAGGGAGAATGGTCTCTCCCAAAATGAAGATTATCTTTGTTCAATAAGGCTGCACCGGACCATGAGACGGCAACCGCAAAACAAAACAAAAATGAAAAATCTAAATCCTTATCAGTGTCAGCGACAAAGGACAATGTTTGAGTTCAATGAGTGACAATAATGTGCCAAAAGAAGCCAAAGCATACGAGCAAATCTGCTATCAAGCAGCCCTGGATGTAAGTGAATAATTGAATACGTTAAGTGATGATTGTTGAACGTTGTGATTTAAACAAAGTGTATGTGTGACCTGGTGCAGCTTTAACGTCATCTCAACTGGAGCAAAGATAATCCAACATATCTGTGACGTGTTGGGGATAAGAACACACGTTACGTTTGTTACGTTCATCGTCACTCGAGATCAGGAGGATGCGTGTGTACGGACTGTTTGTGAATATCGTCATTTGATGGTTTTATGGCTTTTCTTTGAATGTTTCCGTTGCTTCTCGCTCTCAGAACACGTGTGTGTGTTTTGTTGCCGACTGAACATCCGAGCTTTTGGTTTCCACAACGAGCTATGCACACAAAGAAATCTGTGTCTTCCACAATTCAAACCCTGGAGGAGGAAGGTGTTTGTGGCTCCATCTACACAACAACATATCTCATTTTAAAACATCCGGACAGAGAGAAGCCTTGGACAGTTAGACGTATTCTCTGTGCCACCAACGGTTAGCTTTTAGCATTCGCTCTCGGTGCAGGGAGGGAAAGCAGAACACATCTTTTTACATGTTTCTGATGATGATAGAGATCTGAGTCAAAGCAACCAGCGCAACATTTTAACATTTCTATTCAAACGTTGTAGAAGTCGGTGTTTGTAACGGCCCGTCCACACAGCGGCGTGCGTTGACGCTTCACCGTTCACTTTGAATGGGGTGACGTCACTTTTCGCCGCACTGCATGGTGGGAAGCGACGTGGAGCGTTGCTGGCGTGGCTCGCTGCAAAAGTTGAGCAATGTTCAACTTTTGACGCCTCGTTGTTGGTTAGTGTACTTGGAGGCTGGGATGTGTGTTCGTCGGAAACTAACCGATCTGCGATTGCGTTACTAGCTAACCGACNCTGCTTTGGAGCGGCGCTGTAAATGTCTGCAGAACGGTAAAGCAGCGAATCACTGGGAAAACATACAGGACAGATATATATGAGATGGTTTGTTTACTTAAAGTATGTGTATACTAAGAATACACCAGAATACTAAGTACTGTATACTGAGACCTGCATTTTAAACATGTAAACAATGCATACACAAGGTTTTCTGTTTGTTTCTAACTCTTATATGTGATTCAGAGAATGGATGGAACACCTCGGCACTACTGGGGAAGGGGATTAGGGCTAGGTGGACATTTTGACGTTCTTTTTTTAGTTTTCACTTCGACACCAAAATTCTGTGGCGCAGATTTGGTCTCAAAGTGACATTGGAATTATTTCTGGGAAAATGTATCGACCAACAAAATGATTTTCCGTGGCTGGCCTACTTACAGTTTCCTCACACGTTTCACAACATTGACACTCTTTAGCAGCATGGCTTACAGTATAAATTAAAAGGGGGCTTAAACGGAGCTGATCCAGATTTGCGTCCGATATGACGTAATATCTGAAATGTGGACCCACGGCCCTATCAGAAACGTTGCTATCAGAAACAATGCCCGACTGTTTTGGACGTAATATGGTCGGTGTTTACATTAGCATCGCTAACACTCAGAGCTAACCTGTACTGGAGAGCATGTGTGTGAAGAAGCAGGAAGTAAAAAGGAACTCACCTTGTGGTATAACCGGCAAGAGAGAAAGCCTTTGAGCTCCATACTGTTTCAGAGAGAATCCTTGATAATCCATGATATGGCGTTTCATCACGGCAGCATTTAGTTTAGACAGTAGCTGCCGGGTCCCGCATGAGCTCAGACCCCTTTCCTTTTTTTTTTTTTTAAAGCTTTATACCCCAAATCAGCACTTTAGAAACAGGAAGTGGAATAGAGGGACATGAGGCATGGCTAGAATGGGTGATCTGTTTGGTGACCTTTAAATGTATAAATACACAGGTACCAGCCCCTTAAACTGCTCTTTAAATACCGCTTTTTGTGATATATAAATGGTGCCATTTCTTTCAACATGTTTTTATGTCTAAGGGAGGCGCTTTTCTTCACGTCTGTATGGAGAAGTACCGACGGTGCCACCTCGTTTTATGTTAATTTCTTGATATAAACGAATGCTTTGAAGTGTCAGATATCTCAACCTGAAAACACATCTGTTCTGCTTTTAGACAATTTATGGGAGTTTCTTACCCGATGGCGCTGTTCTGTGCGATGTCTCGCAGCGTTGGGATGGGGGACGTCACTGGCCTGAAGAATAAAAGTTAAATAAAAGTTAATAAGGAGGAGGAGTCGCCATGTTGGATCAGAGCGTTTGTTAAAAACATCAGAACACGAGATAAGATGTGTGAAAATGTGAGAATGAAGCGTCCTTACTGATCTGGGAGAATAGGTTTGTCGTCAAGGTTTAATAAACCCTGGATCCCATGGCACAGCTCTGCGGGGATCTCAGTGTCCTTAACGAGGAAGATATGGAAGTTTTAATCAATTAATGAGGATTTTATTAAATGACAAGCAGAAAAAAAAAAAAAGTATATTTCTTAATTTTTTATTGACTTATTTGTCCATAAAAAAATGTCTTAACGTAAATATTAAGATCAAAATATGATTTTCTTAATTGTTTTTACATATTTAAGCATCTATATACATACACACTTATGACCTACATAAATAAATACAATTAATTATTAAGAAACTGCCAAAATAAAGTAAAATATGGAGTTTTTAATGATTTGAAAAAGTAGATTTTTGTTCATTTTGTATTGACTTATTTTGGACATCACATTTTTTTCTTACGGTAAATAATAAATATTAAGATATATAGAAATCAAAATATTAATATAATTTCCTGAATTTGTTGTATATATTTAAGCATCTATATACACATACACTCATGACTTGCATAAATAAATACAGTTAATGATAAAAAAAACGGCCAAAATAAAGTAAAATTTGGAGATTTGTTCATTTTTTAAAATTGATTCATGCGTTTTTTGGGCTTAATTTGACTCAAAATCACTGATAATATGTACGTTCTCAATAACGGCATTGACGCTTCACCATTCACTTTGAATGGGGTGACGTCACTTTTCGCCGAACTGCATTGTGGGAAGTGACGTGGAGCGTTGCTGGCGTGGCTCGCTGCAAAAGTTGAGCAATGTTCAACTTTTGAAGCCTCGGCAGAAGCGTCAGCCAATCGAATCATAAGCCAGTGCAAGCTCTAGCCAATCAAACCGCTGCTTGTGTGTCCGGGGCGGGAGATTCATGTGATTGGTTGTTGGTCGAGTTTCAGACACGCCCGCCGGCAAGCGTCAACGCACACCGCTGTGTGGACGGGCCGTGAGATGAAGTCTTTCCATTTTGATATCTCTAATTGACGACATTTATTTCGTTTATTCGGTCATTATTGTCACTTTTTCTACTCTTTAAAGTCCATTTTATTCAATGTTGAACTTGTGACAGCAGTGACTGTGCTGCAAACCGACTTTGTTCCTCGGGATCAAAGTCTGTAATGTTGTGCTTCTCTCTTCAGA